GCAGAGCAGCCAGGGCCACGAATGCACCCCAAAAAATGAGGAGGTGCTGGTGGCTGAGCCCAGGGAAGAGCTAGGGCTTCCCACAGACCAGACCTGCTGCTCTGGGGACAGGGACAGGAGAGACCTCAATGCCCCATCACTTGCCATGAGGGTGGCAGAGGACCCTTCTGCACCTACTAATGCTCCTGTTTGGTTTTGGAAGGAGCTTCCCCCTCCAACATGGCTCTATGTTAGGGACACCTGCAGCCACAATCAAGATGCTGCCTCTACTTTGCCCCCCTGCAATACTGTGATGTCCTTACCGGGTCCAGCACCCAGGGAATCCTGCAAAAAGAGAGGAAAAAGTCTCTGTGAGGACACAGTGGTCTTACCACCACGATGAGGAACCCTCTCCCAGAACCTCCCAGCCCATGGCTCCCCCCATCTGGGTGCTGGCACCTCCCGAGGGCTGTGGTGCTGCACAAATTGGGCCACTTTTAGGCTGGAGAAGAGGCCATCGGTCACAGTCCTGCCCCTCCAAGTTGGTGGGACCCCCTGATGCTGGTCCTGGCTCTTCCCATGAGCTACCCACACCCCAACCAGGCAGGGATGGATACAAGCTCTCCCTGAGTGGAATATGGAAAAAGGGCCATCAAACAACGTACCTGGTCTGCTGAAGAACCTGCAAGAGAAATGGTGAAATAGGTGGTTAATACAACAGGCACCACACCCAAACCTCATTTTCTGTTTCTCTTGGTGCTGTAAATATCAATAAATCAGCATCTGTGCTTGAAATTGATGGAGGAAGCAGAAAGCAGAGGCTGGGGTCACCCGAGTCATTGCACCGGGTGGGAAAAAACAGGGAGTGACTGGAGCCGGACAAGGACACAAATTTTTACTGCACTACGGGGTGTTTGGGATCTGGAGATGAGGTCTCTCCTCACCAGAAACGTGATTCCTGGCATCGACCCTCCCGCTTTCATTAACCAGCATCTTCTGATGAAGAACTCATCATCTCTCTTCAACGCCCTCCCAGCACGAGGGCTGGGAGCATCCCACACCGAGCTGCCGCGATCCTCTGACACACACGGGATTCAGCTCGTCGTTTTGGGGGGGTTTTGGTTGGTTGGTTTGTTTTTTAAAGCACCAGCCAATGTGAATTACAGCCTTGGGAGGTGGGTGGGAGTGGACTTGGATTTTTGTTATGCATTAACAAACAGCAGTGCTTTACAGAGCAAATCTTTCACATCAGTCACACACATTCACCTCCTTGGCACGAGCTGCTCACGATGGGAAATAACTCACCGATCTTGCAGGGAGGAATGATCTCCAAGCACTCCTTGTGAGCACCCGCTCCACATTTGGGGCAAAGATAGCCCTGGTAGAAGGTTCCTCTGTGCAAAAAAAGAAGTCACAAAGTCCTAATTTAGCCCCGGCTTTGAGGTTTTCTTTCCGTGTTTTAAGACAGACGCAGAAAAGCCGGGTGGCTGCTGCTCACCTTAGGAACATCCTGCAGGCTTTGCAGTTGGTCGTCTTCTCAAATGTGTACATCTGGAAGTTATGGTGATTTGCATTGGCTTTCTCTGGCTTTATGTTGGACCTAAGGGCAAGGACCGGGGGGTTATCAACCTGTCCCTGCTCCCGTGACCGGTCACAGCAGCTGCTGTTTGCATTTCAGCTGAAGTTTGGAAACCTCACGGACAGATATGAAATCAAGTGTGAAAGCGGACGTGGGGCTTGACCGTGCAGAGAGAGGATTTTGCCCATCACCCTTCCCCTGGGACAACGCTCATGGACCTGGCCCTTGCCCGAGTCAATCAACAGCCCAGACCTGAGTGGGGCCAACCCTTGAGCTGCTCAGGACCAGCTCCCCACAGCAGAGCCCTCCTCCCACAATGTCTTCCTCCAGCCTGGTGCTCCACACATGCCCTGACACCATAGCGAGGTGTCACTTCAGAGATGCACCACCCACGCTCTGCTGCAGACACTCAGGGTGGGTCCAAGCTCCCTTCACACAGGGACCCATCCAGCAAACCCCCGGGAGCTTCCCCATCACTGGCTCTGCTCTCAGAGCTGGTCTCCAGTAACCTGCTGGTCCAAAACACCATTCCACCATGCCTGGCAACCACAGGCCAGGGCTGGAGCAGCCACTCATGCTCACATTGCCATTTCAAACTGCTCCATCCACTTCCTCTTCATTTCCTCCGTCTTGCAGAAGAACTGGAAGCCCTGCTTCCCCTGAAGGTGAATTAGGTAGAAGCCATATGACCACTGCAAGAGAAGACGAGAGTCAATCAGACCGCTGGGCTCCCGATGCCTCAGGAGCCACACTTTTTTACACACACCACACTTTTTGACTCAGGTCTCTTAATAATTGCTCTCAGTGCCTGCCCCTGGCCCTTCTGAAGGACGGCTGAACCTTTGCATAGGTAGCAGCAGGGAAGGAGGAAGAAGAGCTCCGTGTCTCTCTGACTAATGATGCCTGAATCAGCTTGGCATCGTGTCACCAGGGCCCAACAGGATTTTATGGTGGCAGATGAGAGAACCCAGATTTTTCTGCTCCAGTGGATCCTCCCCAGCCATTATATCTCTCCCTGACAGCAACTGACAGCCCAGGAGGAACATCTGACCTGCCCACTGCACATATGCTCTGCCTGTCTCATTACAACACTGCACAGGAAAACACGAGAGAAAACTGTGTGCTTTGCTTACCATTTTTCCATGGGACTAGAAAGCATAGGAGAGCAAAGTGGAAATATATTTCATTAACACACAAAGTTAGCAGTATTTCTTCAGCATCCAAGTGGCAAAATTGGCAATTCTTCCCCAAATGTCACTTATCCCACCCGTACAATACCTCCTCCCATGGCAGGTAAGTGGATTAAGCTAATGGGACCCTGCTAAAGTGATAGCTGGGAGGTTTTCCTTCGTGGCTGCAGACTGAGCCTCAAACCACTGGAAAAATGATGTTATTTTGGTGGTAAGTGTGCTCCAAGTGCCCGTTTTGGCAGGTTGGTGGGCAAAGGCTGCCTTTCCCTGGCTCCTCCACCCTGAGCCTCGCCGGAGCGAGAGCATCCACAGGGACTGTCCCTCCCTCCCTGCCCTCCTCTCCACCCCCTCTGACCCTCACCCCTTGCCCGTGGGCCAGAAAACAGGGAGCAGCTTCCTCTCTCCTAACTCCCACCACCCCAGCCTCTCCAGGGCTGTTTTGGCAAGGACAGGGAGGGGGGTCAAGGATCAAGCCCAGCCCCACATTAATAAACATTTCCCAACGCCCTGAAAGCTGAGCATTTGTTTTCCAGCTTTTTGCAAGCTCTGTTTCTATTTTAAAAGGGCTAATAAGAATGTACTACCAAAGGACTGGCCCAAACAGTGCCAAAATGCTCTCCAGCAGAGCCAATCCCTGGTCCTCCTACCTTCTTAATGTCCTTGTTGTTCATAGGGTCATCAGTCATCTTGTGGAAGAGCAGCTCAATAATTTCTTTCAGCTCGTAATTGTATCCTTTCCTTTTGCAGACGATCACCACTTTATCAAACAAAAATAAATACCTGCCCGAAGCAAGCAAATAAACAAGCAACCCCGTCAAACATCTCATTAAAGTCTCCAATGGAGGAGAAATATTTGGGAAGCTCTGCAGAGCTTCCCAGCCAGGGCAGCTCAGTGCTCGAAATCAGCTGTAATTTCACACTGATGGTGGTTTCTGTCAGGGCAACTCTAGGCAATAATTGAATAAATGAGCATAAAGGGAATTGCCAGGCGAAGGCATGTTTAATTTGGGAAAACTCCAGAGCCCTGTTGCTCGCTCACCTGTCCTGCTTGGTGTGGTTGACGATGGAGCGGACCTTCAGCTCACCGTCGATCTTCGGCCTCCCGAACTCCTCCAGCTTCACTTGCTGCAGAAAGCAAAGCAGGGCTGAGATCCACGGCCAAGGCTGGGGAGATGCTTTGGGAAGCTGGAAACCCAAACCTGCCCAGATGGCACAGTGTGCTGAGGGCACCCCCCAACCCTGCTTCAAGCTGCTGGAGCTCCTGAGAACAGCATCGTCCTCACCTCGATGCTCCAAGCATTGAGCTAGTGCACAAGCATGGCCCTGACATCAGGAATGGGACCACAGGAGATCCCCAGAGCTCCAGCACCAGCATCCCAGGGCAAGGCTCAGCAGTCACAGCATTTTTGTGAAGCTTGGGATCCAGAAAGCAAAACCCCCACAAAATAAGTTATTTTCCAGGAATTTCCCAGAACTAACACTCTTGTAGTTTTGGTTGCCATCCTGGACCAAGACTGGAGATTTTGGGGAGGCTGGAACCCAAGCCATGGCTTTGGGCAGTTTGTCTTTTGGCTCAAAACCCCTTGCAAACATTGCTCAGTGCAGCATGGCCACTGAGCCAGGGGAATCAGTCCCCTTGCACAGTTCTTATAGGGGAAAAAATATTGTGATGCATCACCCCTGGCCAGGAAAATAAATATTTGACACAGCTGTGTGTATAGTCCATGATTATCCCACTTCCATGTCACGGGGGCTGTGTGTACATAACACCAACTGCTCCACAACGTCCTGCGTGGTGCAAGGAAAGGAGATGCTGAGCAGAACGTGGTGGGATGGACCTGCAGACAGCAGTGACTGCTTTGCTGACACCTCATCCCCAGCGTGTCAAACCTGCTCTCTGGCTGCCAGAAGGAGAAGGGGCTGTTTCGTGCCCCCACGTACATTCCCATTTTTACAGAGCACGATGTCTGACTGTTGGCTCACATCAGGATTATCATGACTGCTTCCACCCAAACCCATGAGCCGCAACGGCCCGTATCCCACCGGAGAATTTTTTGCAGGTTTCTCTTGAAAATGAAGGATTTTGTCACCGCCTGTTCAATTACCATCAATTAAAAGTTCATTGTTTTCAAATGAAGTCAGGGCTTAAAGCCCCCCCCAAACCCAAGCCCCCTCCAGGAAGCCCTCGGGGTGGGCAGCCCCCAGCATCTCCCTCCATCAGCCCTTTTTGCAGCATCTCAGGTGTCAGCCCCCAAATTGCATTACCCCGGCGTAAAGCGTGACAGCAGAGCAGCTGAGCCCACAGCTGAGCAGCCCCTCCATCCCACCCCCCAGCAAATGTGGGAAAAAAGCTCGTTAGCTTGAAGCTCTGCCACTGAATATTAAATTAATGGGCTGGTTCGGGGCTAAAGTGAGCGATGGTTTGCACGGGGTCAGCTGATGCACAGTACTGATACGTCTGGTGTTTGGAGGATGAGATCCCCCTTAAATGTCTGGTTGAGATTTTGGGATTAGGTGCATGTTACACATGCCCTTCTCCAAAGGGGCCCTGGTTGCACTCTCAGTTAACCTCTGCCATCTTAACAGCAAAAGAAACCCCACTTTAAATAGCAGACATAGCTGATGTAGGGAATTCTTGGGTGTCCCCCCCTACACTACTAACAGAAGAAAAAGTTGAAGAAACATTTTCAGTGTACCACCACAAGAGAAGTCACCCCCCATCACAGATAAATCAGTTCTGTAATGCAGCAACTGCTTCTGGAACCATCAGCAAAAACACTGTCAGTGATGAGGGAATGTCCCAACACACGGGGGTCTCTCTTGGGTAGCACATCAGATTCAGTCGTAATTGCCCAGAAAAAGCAAATATGTCAATAATAATCAAACTAAAGTCAAGAGCAAGAGGATTTTCCAACTTACCAGGTTTTCTATAGAGCTCTGAAATTCACTTATTTTCTTTAAAGTCTCTTTGTCCCTCTTCACTTCGTTTATGTACATGGCCAAGTCCTTCAAAGAAAAGTGAATATTCATTTTTATTTTCCAGATGAAACTAGTATACTTTACCAAAGCAGAAAACACAGGAGCCTGGCTCCCTGAAGCCACACTCCCCTCTGTCCTCCAGCATCAGACCAGCAAACACAGGTGCTTTTTTTATAATTGCAATTTTTCCCATTTCCCAGAAGAGGGCAATGCACGAATCCAGTGCAGGGCAGCAAACCCAACCCAGGGCTTTTTTTACCTGGGCAGAGCCCGGGGGGAGCAGCCAGGCACCCCCTGTCCTGGCAGCATCCTTCCCTCCCAGCTTTCATCGCTGTAATTCCCCTCATCCCCCCGGATACAAAAGCTGTGAGCCAGTCTCTGCTGTTAAAACACCCACGTCTGTAAAATAACCGCTTTGGACACCTGGCTGCACGTTAGCTGTGAACAGTATTTGACCTGGCTCTGCCCCAGTTGCTTCCAGCTGACCTCCCTGGCTGCTCAGCATGCCACCCGAGCTGGGACAGCACTGGGATGCCCACACTCCATCCTTCCTGGGGATACCCGCAAGAGCATCCCCATCTCCAACACTTCTGGACCTCCAACATCTCCCACCACACAAAGGCTGTGTCATAAAAAAATGAGGCACTTGACAGAGCTTGGTCTTCCCTGAAAAATTTCTTACTTACCCAAATTTTGACCCATCAAAAGAGAAATAACTCTGTCCCTTCCACTAAAACAACTCCTTACACCCTTCGGAGCGTATTTTCTCTGCCTGTCTCCTTCTTATCTGTTCCCTGCCTCCTTGTCCTCAACAATAGCTCTTGTCAACTTGGATTAAATCTCAATATGGGATTTTTTAAGACATCCCCTCCGGGTCAGACCTTCTACAGATCCCCAACATAAGAAGGGTTAATCACAGATGATAATCACAAATCTATGTGACAATACTTATAACATCACAAACTACCCCACCGGGCCGGTGGCAGGGATGGTTATGAAGAATGACAGAACCAAAAGCCTTATGAAGGAGCATCCTCCACACCGTGATCGAGTGTCGAGCTCAGCTCCCCCCCGCTGAGGAGGCCCATCTCCTGCCTCCAACGCAAAGGGGAAACACATTCCCAGGGTCAACCCTGGCTTGAAACAGCAGCAACGTGTAAAACTGGGCTGTGGGACTTCACTGGGAACCTGCCTTGTCCCCACCATCACCCAGTTCTCTGTACTCAGGTGGAGGGTTGGTACATGCAAAAAATACCCCCAAGGTGCAGTTTTTTGGTGCAAATCCTGCCCCTGCCTTGCGCAAACGACGACTTAAGCAAAAGAAAAGGGAGGTGAATCCCTTGGGAAAAAGTATTTCTATTCCCCCCTTCCTGCATGGCTCCCACCCCAGACAGCAGCAATGTCTGCCGCCTGCCAGCACGGCAGACAGAAAGGCTGGATCCGCCACGAAAAACATTACTTGTAAGCTAAGCCTTGGTTTACAGATCAATTAAAACCAAACTGCACGGCTTCCTACATCCCTGCCGAGCCCGGCGCCCTCTGAACTCCACCTGCACTCCCCTACGAGAGAGATGAAACAGAGAAACCCGGCTGATGGCTACTGGCAGCTGCCTCCGAAAAAAATGCTGAGTCTGCAGTGCAGCCAGGGCGTATATACATTTATTTCTTAGCAGTGGTATCGGTGGTACCATATTATGAGGCCATAAGCAGGGTTTAACAACTACCCCCAGGTTTAGGGCTGGCGTGAGGACACAGCGACGTGTTGTGCCGCAACGGGCTGCGAACGCAACGTCCTTCAAACAACCTTAACTTTAAAACAACCCACATATCGGCTCTGGATTCCCGGGCTTGCAGGGACAAGGGCTGAAAAGGTCACCCAACTTATGTAAGTGCTGGGAAATCAGCGTCGTTACAAAAGCTGACGCTCAGAGGCTGAAAACAAAGCGACCTGAGAACATGGGAGAGCCCAGGGGTGCATCCTGCAGAGCTCTCCGGAGAGAAAACCTGGAGTTAAAAACCATCCTCAACTCAGATTCTGCTGATGATGGTCCCATGGTGGGAGCGTGTGGGGGCGGAACATATATCTGAGTCAGAAAACATTCGGATGATTTCATATTTCGTTGCCTGAGAGCTTGAGGGGTTCAGCTGAAAGCTCAAAAACCTTTAAACAAAGGAAAACTTCGACACCAGAAGTCTTCATTTGTGGAAGGAGCATTTCCCCCTTAATAAAAAAACTCGGAGGCCAGGCTGGATGGGGCTTGGAGCAACCTGGTCTGGTGGGAGGTGTCCCTGCCCAGGGCAGGGGGGTTGGAACTGGATGATCTTTAAGGTCCCTTCCAACCCAACCCATTCGATGATCCTACAATGAAAGGATTCCCAACCAGCGCCTGGAGAACAGGGCTGCGCTCCCCTCCTGCCGTACTCCCTGACTTGCTGACACGGCTGGACTCCCTCCAGATCCCTCCCAGCAAAAAAATAAGAGCCGGATCTGGCACGGCCTCTTTACACACAATAGTAATTAGTGAAAAGTCGTAACTTGTCAACAAACACCAGCTTCCCCAGCTGGGCGGAAGGCGGCAGTTAACAGCCATGCCCTGCAGATCTGCCGCCAAGCAATGGCATCGAATGGCAATCGATACACACAGGCAAGTCCAAAAGGAGGAGATGCTGCTTCCCTCGGGCTGTGGGATGGTTTTTCCACCCAAGGTTGTGTTGCACAGAAGCAGAGGGGTCCCACACTCCATCACACCCCGAGCCCTGCGTGGCCCCAGTGCTGCTTCACCCTCCCGTACCTGCATCGCCTCCAGAGCCTCCTTCAGCTGCTGCTTCTCCGGTCGGTCCGATGAATGGCTGAGCAGCTCCTGGCAATAAAGAATAATAAAAATAAAAGAGTTTGGGTGTGCTGCCAGCACCGGGCAGGCTGTGACCCACGGGTGACGGCTGCCAGGGTGGTGACAGGGATGTCGGGATGGGTGGCTGCGGCCGCAGCCGTAGGAAGGGGAACGCGCCAAGCGGCTGGTGCTCCAGAGATCTGTTACACGGAGTCGACGGGAGGAATTTCACACATAATCAGATTATATGCAAGCTTATTTTATATTCATTAACCGCCTCTCGTGGCTAACAAGGGCAGAATTACCCTAGGTCACTGTACTTTTAAGAGACGGCACAAATATTGTGTCGTGTTAAGTAGCTCTAGTAATTATTTCATTTGAAGGGGGGGAAAAAAAAAAACCAACCCTCAGTCTGCATTTGGCAATAATTTGCTTTCCACAATAAAAGGCGAAAGATGCGACGGCGAGGATGGCAGCTGGAGAGCGGTGCCAACACCGAAACACTTACTTTTAACAGGAGATGATATTTCAAAACTCTTTGCATTGGAACCACCAGCAGATCTTGCAATTTAAATTTCCCGTCCTGAACCTTTAGTGTGCACTCCTGTTAAAGAGATCGATACGTGAGTGGGGAACCATTGTTTTCCCCCAGAAAAAGCCTCAAATGTCCTGAGCTGGGGGAAAACAATGGTTTTTCCCCCAGAAAAAGCCTCAAATGTCCTGTGACTGTAAAGTTTTGCTCTCCGTAAGCTCAGCTGGGATGAGAAATGGCTCGTGGTCCCTGCGCACACCCAGCCGGTGCCAGGGCCCCTCCGCAGAGGTTACCGAGGGAAAAAACACCGGGGCTGGACCCTAAAACACATTCATTCTCATGCAACTGAGCTCCTCCAGCTTAATGAGATGCTGCTCATTAGGGGAGCACAGGGATGCTCTCAGACCTCGGGAAATGCCAATGAAACGCATTAGCTTAACTCACCTCCTCCATGGTTTGGACTAATGCGTTTCATTTGCGCGGGGCTGGAAGCGGGCAGGCAGAGAGTTGCTGTGGCTTTGCTGATAAGCATTAAGTCATTAAGATGAGCTAACGTGATGGCAGGAAGTTTTGCGACTGTTCCCTTCGCCCAGACCCATTTAGATATGTGACTGAGACCCCCTGCATCCCCCCCAACACCCCCTGAGGAAGATGAGCGGAGCTGCCAGGAGGGAGGGAGAGAAAGGAAGATCACGGGAGAACTGGATGCTACAGCCACAGGCTTGATAAAAGATCCAGAGGGCACGCTTTAAAAAAAAATGATTAAATGCAGTTTTATCCCTGATTTGGGTTGCTACTTTGCACGGGAAATCAAAGAGCGTTTGCAGCAAACGAGGTAACGAGTACAGACAGCCCAGCAAATTCAGATTAGCATCAAGACCAAAGCAGGAATTAAAGCTGGGTAAAAAACAGCAGCTCAAACAATGCATCCCTTCTGGGGCTCCTTTGATTCACTTAATGTCTGGCTCAGCCCCTATTTACACTAAGCCTTGACGCTGGGGAAGGAGGACACGGGAGTAATCCGGGTGCTCGCCTGGGGACCCGCGCTCCACTCCGGCTGTCCCTGATGCTGCATGTGACCTTGGAAAGCCACCAGCTCCTGGCTCAGGAATGCTCGGAGCCTTTGGGTCTCCCTGCACGACTCCAAGCAGAGTCCCACTCCAATAAACTCACTCAGCTTGGTTTAACTTGGATAAACTCAGGCAGCACAGACTCCCCCCCACATCCCTCCCCTCTCCTGGTAACTCCAACATTCCCAACACGCCACTCTCAGCTCCAACAGGTCCTTCCCAAACCCGGGACAAGGCGGGTGGGCAGCTCTCGGCCCTGATGTCCCCTGCCTGCTCACCTCCACCTTCTGCCTGACGTCCTCCCTGTTGGCCAGGAGGTGGTTGAGCGTGTTCTGGGCGTACTCCATGTGGCTGCAGTACTTGCCGTAAATCAGCAGCCTGCAGAGGGGGAAATCACAAATTTAATCGGAAACACTTGCTGGCAGTTATAACCTGTTATAAAAGATATATATACTTACATACGGGGAGAGGACAAGGCAAACAGCTATTCCCCCATATAACTGCTTAGCAAAGTATTAACACTCTTTTACGGCGTGGCTTTTTAACATTTAAATCTTTTGAAGTTTCCAGAGCTGGAGCCTGTGGGGGTGATTGGGGTCACGATGAGCAGAAGGGGCCGAGTGGCCAGAGAAGCCAGATTTCAGAGGTTTGATGGCTCATCCCTCTGCTCCCCAGAGTGATGTATTTAACCACCACTCCCCAAGAGCTGTGCTTTTGGAGCACTATCACAACAAAAGGGAAAACCCAGCTCCACACTGAAAGACTTTTCTCAGAGCAGGTCACCAAGTGGTTCTATGAGAGGTACCGACATCCCAGGTACAACAGTCCAAATGTGAAAAGGAACAGCAAAGAGCTGGGCCCCCATCCCTGCCCACGCTCCCCTCTCCCGGGAGCAGCTCCGACCCCAGCGAGGGTCCGTGGATTGACTAAAACAGGGGGAGGGGGCAAGTGTTGAACCTCTGCAACACAACCTGGGCTGTGAGTCGGCTTTTTCTCATGGCTACACCATCACCACAACCCTCTTGATGTCTCCATAGAGGCCATGCTGCCCCAATGGCCACACATTGGTTTTCCAGCTGGGCCACGTCAGCCCCAGGGCTTGAGCAGGGCAGAGCAGGGATGTGTTTCAAGACCAAATGACAATAAAAATCCATTTCCTGAGAGCGTTTCCCAAAGTAGCTCATTCAAGCCCATGTATTCATCTCCCAACACCCCTTCGTTTCCCAAGTCACAGCTTCTCCCAACCCAAAAACCAATTGCTGGCACTGTATCCGATGTGTGCCCCTCTCTCTGAGGGTTTCTGGATATTTCACCAAGTAGAGAAGGCAAGAAACATTTTGATGCTCGAGAAGTTCCCAGAACGGATATGGGTGATAATTATTTGCACGTCATCAGAGAACGAGAGGCTTCAAATCCCCTTAAACCCTAAGGACACATTTTGGAAAGCTCACTGCTCCTTGCAGGATGGGCCACGGGGACCTGGAGATCAAGAGAAGGGGTAATTTGGGGAAAGAAGGTTGTCACAGCTTTCAGAAACACAGCGAAGCTCTGCATAGATACCCTGGGCTATAAATTTCAACACCTGACACAAACAGAGCAGTTTTGCCGTGGATTCCCCCTTTTTCCTCCATTTCACTCATTAATCCTGCGTGACAGGTTTGGGTTTTCCCTCCACCCCGTCTCCCTCCCCGTTAACTGCATTGCTGCTGATAAGACGCATATTCCATCACACGCTGAGACTCATCCATTATTCCGGGGCCTCGTCTCCCTCTGGAGAGGATCTGGGTGCACCCGACCCCGTGTCGCTCCGTAAACGGGGGACTCTCCAACCCCGGCGGGGGATTGAATAGAGAGATTTATGGGAGCCCCCGTCCCCGGCGAAGCAGCAGCCAATACAGATTATTCTTCTGCCTTCTCCCCGTGACAACCTCTGAACACGCACAATAATATCTGCCTTGCCAGCGCTCGGAGAGTTTTCAAAGAGGCTTCAAGAGCATAAATTCCGACTCACAAGCTTTCAGAGAAAGAGATTTACAAACTGTTTCCTTCCCAAAAAAAAAAAACCACCTCGGCAAAGCGGAGGAGCAATACATCATTTTGCTGGGACGTCTCTGAGGATGCGTAGGGAAGCGAGAACTATTTGTCACGGACACATTTGATAGAGGAAGGTCTTATATAAAGGGACCAGGTGGGGACTCTGGAGGTCCACATTGCCTTCTTGGTGGGACAACGCTGTCTCTCCAGGTGAGCTCCTTTTCTCCTACTGTATCCCAAGTTCGTTCTGTAAAATATGGTATTGTTTCTCCCAACATAGGAAAGGACCTTGCCTATTTATTCAGGTTGCTCCAAACTCTTCATCCCCGAGACCACAGCTCTGGGGTCTTCTCCAAGCCAAAACTCCCCATGATGCTGAGGTCCATGAGACCCCCACAGGCTGAACACAGCTTTGGACCTGCCATCACAATTTCACGACCATCAGTTTGGCTCCTCCACTCACCTCTCAGGAAGGCTGTTAGGTCCTTTAAAAAGCTCCTTGAGAACTCCCTTAAGAACTAGGCCAGTTCCTTCACCTGCCTGCATGAAACCCATCAGCTACAAGCACCCTGCTGAGCTCCCACCAGCAAATGAACAGAAGCAAACATTTAGTTAAAGGCTGTCAGCCCCAAAACCAGCCTCGTGCTCTTGCAGAGCCGTGTGGATCTCCCTGGGGAGTGATGCCACCTCCACGACTCCTCCTGTGTCCCTTCCCTGCCCCGGGGATGGCACCGGCACGCACCAAGCCCAGCCAGGAATTAGGAGATCAAGTCAGTTTTATGAGTAGTTTTAAATTATTTGCATTCTTTAGAAACTTTTTTTTTTTTTTTAATTTAATCCCTTTCTAGAAAGAGGGGCCCTGAATGATGGAATAGCTGACCTTACGGTGTATTATTAATGTAGATGGTATTTCTGGAGTTATTGACTTCTGAATGGCATTTCTGTGTCTAGACACTGGTTTAATCACAGTGAAATAACACCCTGGCACGATTCCACAATGAATCAGGCCTTTGATTAGTATTAAGGATATTAAAGGCTTTTATTAACCTTATCTTTGTGTTCTGGGGTACTCCTGCTCGCAGCTGCCAAAACACAGAATCTATTACGTTTGCAAAAGTGACTTTTACATGTCTTTGTCATGCAATAGGTGCCGGACAAAAGCAGTGCCAAATAGGCAATATTTTTAGAGTGAGCAACCACTTTGATCTGAGCAGAGCCAAAGTCTCCCCCGCAGAGGAGCCACCCGACCACATCACAGGCCCTCAAAGCCCCACTGCTGCTCGCTGGAGAAGACCACACTAAACCCTTGAAGGCCAGTGAGGTTTTACTCCATTCTGGCTCGCCGTAATTGTAGCATTCCCTTATTTATCCCTCCTCAGACATCCCTGTAAATGCACTGTATCCTCAGCCTCCGAAACAGCTGGTCCCACACGGGATGCTGTGAGCCCAGCAGAATTTGGGTGCAGACACGGACTTGGAGGAACGAGCACCCACAGGAGCTGGTCAGAGATGTCCCAGCCTCTGTCCCTGCACCACTTGGCACAGCTGTGGCTGGATTTGGCTACTTAAATACCAGCACTGAGTGATGTTCTGGCTGCCCAAAAGCATCTATCTGCGGAGGATACAAAACTCCTCTGCTGCCACAGGCATTTCTGTCCCAAACCCTGTGATGGGCCCTGCAAATATCAACCCCTATCTGTTAAAGCTGGAGCTGCCTGAAGTTTCCTTTACCTCTCTTTGAATTCCAGAAACACTTTTGCCAGGCTGCTTCCTCCAGACATCATAGAGACGTCGATGGCTCTCAGGAAACTGAAGTGCACTTTAATTAGGTCCTAAAACGAAGAAACAATCAATACTTTAAACACATCCAAAGCGAGTGGGCAAACAGAGCCTAAAGAAATGCACATTCGCTACTTAATCAGGCAGTAATTTTCTCTTTTTTTTTTTTCCTTCTTTTGAGCTGTTTTTAAAATAAGTTGTTGTAGTGAGATGCAGCCCTAAATGGCCAGGAGTGCAAAGGTGTGATTTCACCAGGAGGTTGTACAGTGATAAATGCCCCAGGATTGTCCCCTACCACCAGGGAGGTGGTGGAGTCTCCTTCTCTGGAGACATTCAAAACCCTCCAGGAGATGTTCCTGTGCAACCTGCTCTGGGTGGACCTGCTCTGGCAGGTCCCAGGAAGGGACCTCCACAGGTCCCCTCCAACTCCATATCATTCTTCTGTGATTCTGTGATTCCATGTCTATTAAAGTCCCTTTTGCAGGTCAGGAGGGAGCAGAGGAGATGAGCAGTCTCCGACCCAGAAGCCATACAAGCCAGCGTAGAAATAAATCCATCCCAGTGTGGCCAAACCATCTCTAAGTACAGCCAAAATACCCAGCCCCAGCCCTGAAACATCCTCCGTACAAAACTGCTTTCTTACCTAGAGCTCATATAATCCCCAACTCTAAAATTGAGTGTTAAAGAACATCTCCTAAACCCGTTCAAGCTTCGCCGCACATGGGAGGACTGAACCTCCACAGGTGAATGCACAAATCTAACGTGAAATCAGAAAGCTTCCTCTTAAGCAGGAAGGTGGCTGAGCTGCCGTGAAAAGAACAAGGATTTAAGTCACAATGTCTACGCCGTTACCTCCAAATTGATAAAAATAGCTTCCATGTCTTGGGGAGTCAGTACCAGCCTCAGAGGGTTCATATAGTTCTGCAAGAGGTAAATGGAAAATGGATTGAAATATCAGGCAGAAGTGAGCAAGGCTGGTTTTCTTTTTTGTGCAAAGGATGTATTTTCCCGACTTCACCAGTTGCATTTACCTGGGTGGGGAGAAGCCAGGTTTTAAGGAATTTAAGCACTTGAAAAGGCAGGTGAATGACAATGTATTTATCAAGACCGGGCTGTGCCGGGGACCCAACAGGAGCCAGGGATCCCCAGGAATCCCCCCGAGCTCCCCACGGCACTTCCAGGCATGGGGAGGTGCAGGACCCCCACCCGTGGGGCACAGACCCTTCTCTTGCTAAATCCACAGGAGGGGATTTAAAGGCAGGCAGCTTCTTCACCTCACTGCAGTCCTGGGCTGCAGCCGGGAAGAGCTCTGAAGCATCTTTTTCAGCTCTTGGATTATCTCCCTGGAATTTTGCCCTTGAAAAAGCGCCGATGATGTGATTACATCGGAAATGCCTTTCTGAACAAATACATATTAATAGAAATGTCTACATGACTTGTAAGTACAAAAAACCCCTGGTGCAGCGCGTCGAAGACAGGACCCTCTCCCCGTAACACGCCGTCAGATCCTACTAAGCCTTCGCAAGCCTTTTTAATGGGTATTACAGCAATAGTTTAACTCTTCCTTTAGACTGAACCAGGAGGGCTGTGGCTGTTTCCAAGGAACAAGGGCTATTTACATAAATGACATGTCCATCGGTACATTTTTATGGAAAAAGGGAAATACTATTCCACCATGCCGGTTTCGCTCACAGGTTCTTTGCAGGAACTTTCAGCAGACAGAGGCAAATAATTGTAATAGGGGAGGAAACAAAAGCATTAGGGAGATTAGAAATGGCAGCTTGATTTTCACTATTGTTCTTCATTCCTGCTGGTTTCCTTGGAGCAGAAATGACCTCCAGGCTCCAGCCGCATCCACGGCTCCGCCGTCTTGCTGAGGTGTTCATTTTTATTTTTATTTAAAAGAAAGGCACAACGATAATTTATCAAAACCAATTAAAACCCACGCATTCAAGCAGCAAAATGTTACTCTTAATCCAATTAGTTTCAATGACAAGTCAGCACAGCTTCAGCATTTTTGAAAAAAAACAGGCAGAATAAAGAAATTATTCCGGAGCAATCAAAGTGATAAGATATCTGCAAATCCAGCTCTTATCAGCGAGACCGGCCTGGCTGAGCGAGGAGAGGGAATCTCTTACCCCGGGCGAGGGGGGGACACAGCAGGATGGTTTTCAGCCTATTTCCAACATGCAGCCATCAGAAAAAAAAAAATATGCTTTTTGGCTCCTACAGTTCCAGGCTGTGCATTTGTGCTTGTCTTGTCAGTCTGGGTTTTCTGGATCCCCCTTCTCTCCAATTTTACATGTGAATGCATCGGTCCTGCCTCATCACATCTGCCAGCTCCGGCAGCAAGAACTAACACAGCCAGATGAATGCAAGATCAAGTGATGATGTGGAAGGCGACGGTATAGAAAAGGTGGCTCAGGTCTTACCTTCTCTATATCTTCAAGTGTTTTGTAGTATTTGGCCTCAGTTTCTTGGATTTCTAGCAAACAGCAATTTCTTTTGTCATCTTCTGTCATTCCCATTTTCTAGAAAAAGGGAAAAATAACTCGTAGTCAGATGCTCTTAAGAGGGGTCCGGCAACCTGCTCAGGTGGAGCCGAGCTCCAGCTCAACCTTCAGTGACAGCAAACTCAGAATAAACATAAATTTGGAAAGTCAGGGGAGTACTGCTACTGGTTTATGTTAAAGGAATCTATTTTTAGACAAAAAAATTAGGAAGGAACCCTTGCTGTACTATTCAACATGTTTCAACATGGCAAGCATTATTTTTTTTTGCATTTATTCTCGCTACATCACCAAAGACTATCAGCAAAAGAATAAATAAGAGATAAATGCTGGTTTTCCCCATTTTTTTTTGCTTAAGATGAAACTCACAACAGAGCCAAAATGGGTCATAAGTAATATGTTAGACTTATACAAATCCCCTGCCAGGGTTGCCAATATTCATGATTTTAGGTCAAATCTGATCATACATGTGTTTCTTTAAAGCCTCAACTCCTGGAGTCGCTTCCTTTGCTTTTACATCTGAGAAGTGGAGGTGGAAAACTCGCGTCAGGAGGTGCTGCTCTTGTCAGGGCAGTCTCTGAACTCGGGAGGGGACTCAGTGATTGGGTTTTAATGACCATGCACAGGAATGGACACCCCCTGTAGCTCCCTGCTCAGACCTCTCAGCTGGATGGAAACCCATATTTTAATCGATGCGTCTTACCTGCATATATCTAATCTGAAGCATGCAGAAACACAAGAAACCAATTAGCATTACACACTTGCTATTGCAACAGATCGTATTAAAAAGCCATTATTTAGACAGGTATGTGGATGCTTATATTATAAATTGACTCTTTTGCTCAGGGAAGGGGAGGAAAGGGAGTCAGAGCTGTTGCCTCCGTTTCTGCTCAGCGGCATCCGAGAAAACATAAAACTTCATGGAGGGGACTAAAAGATCACCAATTCTGTTGACCCTAATCCTGCACTACTCTGTGGGCACCCACATGGTGGGAGCTTTCCCCTGTTTTTGCCTTTTATGCAAGAGATTCCCACCAAAATCTTCCCAAGGGCCAGACCTTGGGCCAACTGGCTTCTGCAACTGATGGCAACGAGGTCAAAACACTGATGGCCAAGGAGCTGTGCTGACTTCGGCATTGCCCTGGTGTCTGGAAACAGCTCCAAGAGCTTTGGCAGGATCAGAGGGAATATTCTGTGTCCAACTCCTTGATTCAGACAGGTTTTCAGTGCATGGGGAGCTCCTCAGGCTGCAGACAAGGTGTTAAGGGATGAAATGCCTCAACCACCATTGTCATAGCATTGGTGGCACTTGCAGCTGGGCTTGGGATGGGTGAGAGACACTGTGTGGGCATCGCTGCCACACAGCTCAGCTCATCTGCTGGGCTCTGTGGGGTGAAGCCCAGTCTTCCCATCACCTCATCCCGCACAGCCATGCATCCCGCTCTGGGGATTTAATCCATCAGTGAAGTTGTCCATGGATCCTGCTTTGTTATGGGGAGGAATGTACGGTACTGTCTGCAGCCAGGAGAGAGTCATTAGAGCCTGATCAAAGCCTGGGAGTGACAGATATCAGAGGGTGGGAGAAAATGTAGAAGGTGGAAAAATCCCTTCCAGCTCTGCATCAGCAGAAGCCAGGGCAGCCCATCTCCTGGGCATTGGGGACACAGCTAGTGAGGGTGGCTGTGAGCACTTCTGGGGAGATACAAGGGCCACCAGCACCTTCCCAGCTCATCCACAGAGCCTGATACTTGCACCAGGGCCCTTGGAGTTAACACAAGTCCCTCCAAGCTGCACACCCTGGGTTTCCCCATGATGGGAAGGCTTGTAGGGATGATGAACGGGGTCGGCTGCTTGTCCCTAAAGCCACACGGGTCCCTGCTGCCCCAGAAAGCTCCGCTGCAGACATCTACCTGCTCTGAGCCAGCCCCAGGAGCGGCAGCCGGATCAGAAACAAGGGCTGGATGCTCCACACACAGATCTGTCAGCGCTCGCCCCGATCTAAAAATACCGGTGGCAGCCACGGCACATCTGGCTGATGGAGCACGGAGCCACCGCGCTCCCCCCTCCCCACAAAGGGCTGAACTGACACACGCTGCCTTGGCTCGGCAGCAAATTCCTATTTTTAGCTTATCTTTTAGAGCTTATTAGCTCTCCCTTTCCCTTCCTCCTCCCCAAACTCCTTCAGATGACAGGATGGGCTGGGGAACTCCTTGGAGAACCCCCTCCGGGCCAGCACCATCCTGGCTCGGTTTATTTTTACCTCTCACGAGGCAGCTCAGTTTCAGGGAAGGATGCGAAGCGATTCGCTTCCCCGCAGCATCACCTGCCATTGGCAGATGCTTATTTATTTAATTGAATTCTCTCCCTTCCCCTCCCATCGAGGCACAGCTTTAAAAAAAGAGATGCACGTAAATTGTTACCATGGGCTGCTGAACTTCCACTCGGATGATATCTTCGTAGATATCATCGCCTTCATCTTCACAGGGGACGCAGTCGTAAATATCCTCCCCCAGATCATGTTCGCTGGAACGAGAAGGAGAGCGATTGAGTGATAATAAAGAGGGGACGTTCACCGTCACTTGATCAGGCAAAACAACAACTGCTCTCGCCCCGTGGAGGGAGGCCAACCACGACAATCAGAAAATCCTCCTGGCCCACAGCATGGACATGTTCAGTCCACGTTCCCTGTTTGCATTAGGAGTCTGTTTTTCCCGGCTCGGTACCCGCTGCCCATCTCTTTCCGCTGGCTGGAGGCTGGAAAAGGCAAAACGCTGCTCGACAGGAGCAGGGATGGCAGCCAAGGAGCTGCTCTGAGCCCCGTGCCAGACGTGCCTGCCATGCCCAGGCTACCGTGCTCTGCCAGCTCTGCCCTGCAGAGCTTTTCCTCGGCGCTAATCGGCCCATCCGAGACAGATCTGCTGGCCAAGCGTCCCGGCAGGACCATCTGAGCCACCGCACACCACCAGCTCCAGCATCACGCTGGGTCCAGCTCCACCTGCCTCCAAAGATGCCCTACTGTGAGGGTGGTGAGACACTGGAACAGGTTGCCCAGGGAAGTTGTGGCTGCCCCATCCCTGGAAGCGTTCAAGGCCAGGCTGGATGTGGCCTTGAGCAACCTGGTCTGGTGGGAGGTGTCCCTGCCCATGGCAGGGGGGTTGGAACTCGATGATCTTTGAGGTCCCTTCCAACCCAAACCATTCTATGATTCTATGCCTGCAGCCTCCTGTTCATCTCCTGCCTCTCCTCTTTAGGAGCAGCTCTTGTGTCAGTGACTTGAACCATATTACACTTAGAGAATATATTCTAATGGGTTGGGTTTTGCTATGTTTAAAGCACCGCACTCACTCGTGGTCTGCTTTTCCTTTTTCCCTCACAAAAAGGCTTCCTTCCCACCAAAGAAACCCTCCTCCTTCCCCCAAACTGCCGTAGGAGCCCATGTCCATTCAAAGCAGTGAGCAGATAGTAAATAATCACCCCCTGGCTCTGTGCAGGGGGTGGGAGCATCCCAGCTTGGGGGGAAGCGTGATGGGGCCGAGCTGAGCCCCCGGGGCTGAGCAGGGACCCACAGCATCACCTGGACCAGCCACAGGCAGAGCTCAGCCCAGCCAGGGCCAGCCCCAGCCCTGTGTTCCCTCCAGCCACCAGTAACACATCCAGGTTTAAAATCTCTGGATCCAGTTTTTCCTGGTGATGTGCCGATCCCCATAAAGCACAAACCCTGCCCTGATGGGCAACAGGGTGATTTTTAATCTAACGTTTCCCAGAGGAGGGGGAGACTCTCCTGATCACCACAAAGCAATCCAGTCAGACGCTCAGCCTGGTGATGCTCAGCCCCGATGCTGAGCAAAGCCCAATAATAGCATTTACATAAGAGATAAATTAAGCAGCAAATAAAAAAAATCACATTTTCAGAACTCTTAGGAGATGCCCCTGCAAGCACAGGCATCCTTGAGGCGTAGTGCCCAACTTGTATTTAAAGGTGATGGTGTGAGGTACTTAATTGTCATCTGAGCCTTTTCAAACCCGCCCCCCCAGGGGCTCCTCCGTCTTAGAACACTTTTGAAAATTCAACCCATAATAAATACCAATTAACAATAATAATTTTAGTGCTTAGATCTACAGGTGCTGATTGCTAGCGGCTCCCACTGAAGTCAACCCCATGGGATCAAGACAGTGTGAAACACTGAAATATCAAACAGCGTTCACATATTTTACGAGCTGTCTCTTTCAACATGGGTATTAATTACATACAAATATATTTAGGTGTAAAACTGTGCTCAAACTGTAATACTTGACATCTCTACGCACAGCGTGGAGCAGCAGAGCACATCTGTTTGCAAAACTGGGCTTTATTTCTCTTCTAAATGCAGTTATTTCTATTTTTAAAAACAGATTTATTTAATAAAAGTTTGGGGATTTTAAATAAATACACTGGCATGATGTATCCCTCCCATTCTTCCACAGTGATGCATTGCAGCTGCTGTAATAATGCCCACTAATAGCTGGTGATCCATCTTCCCCTTCCCAAGCGTCGCCGTCACCGTTATTATCTGTACCAATATTTATATTCTCAGCTCCGCTCCTCATCCAGAGCGAGTAACTCCCGGTTCCTGATTAATCTTCCCCACCTCTCGGATTGCTGGCTGTCTCTCCATACATCATTTCCCTGGCTCGAGGGTCGTTAGGAAACGTATGGTTGGGTTAATGTCACCGGCGCGAGCCTGGTCGGGTGTGACAGGACCCCGGCGAACGCCGCAGTGATGCTGCTGCCGGTGCTGAGCCCGCTCTGGGTGACAGCTGATTGTCACCAGCACCGAGAGTTCAGCAACTCTTTTGGGCTACACGCAGGAAAGGACAGCATCTTGAGGTGTCCCCAGGAAGCCCCGCATCCCAAGCATCATCTGAACCTGCTCTCCTGCGCACAAGCACATGTCCAAGGCTCAGACCTCAGCATCGCCTGACCCCAGCCTGGACAAGCTCTCCTTTTCTCACCCATCAAGGAGCCACAAGCTCTGGACCGTGGCTGGGCACACACCAGGACATCACCAGGACATTTAGATTGGATATTAGGAAGAATTTCTACAAACACTGGAACAGGCTGCCCAGGGAGGTGGTGGAATCACCATCCCTGGAGGTATTTAAAAGTCAGGCAGACGTGGTGCTGAGGGACATGGTTTGGTGGTGGTTTTGGCAGCACTGGGTTGATGGTTGGACTCAATGATCTGAAAGGTCCCTTCCAACACAGACAGTTCTATGATTCTGTGATCGTTGTGAGAAACCCCAGCGTAGGATGCTGAAGGGGTTTTGCTGCCTGGACTAAGCCTGGAGAAGAAAGGGTGCCCCATGGACCTGGCCTAGCCTGGTCCTCCCCAGAGCTCCTCTGGGCCACCAGAAAAGGGGCAGAAACACCTACTGAGGGACAACACAGCAAATTTGTCCACACAGCTGCCAAGAGCCACCTGACACAAACACTGAATCCACCATGGGGGGCCACATCTGCCCCTTGATGCTGTCATTGCTCTAACCAACAGGCCAAGTGTTCCTGCTCATCAACACCAGTCCAAGCTCTTCCTATCTCCAATTTCTGGCCTCAAGCAAAAAAACAGGGACAATTCCCTTGTCCTGGGGTCATCTAGAAAGACACCTCCATTTCAGAGCTCAGGGGAGAGGCGCTAGAGATGCTCAAACCCGACAGCCGTGGGGGTATTAAAACAACGATACCTGTGTCTGGTGGACTCCTATTTATTAAAACACATTCCTAGAACATCTCTGAGAAACACCAGAGGCTGCCAGTTTTATGGAGAGCAGTAAAACGTGCAGATTAGCCTCCCCCAGAGCAGCCCAGCTTGGCCGGTGCGTTAGGGCTGTGGACGTCGCTGCTTTGCACAAACTGATCATCAGGCTCCGTGTTTTGTCTGTCAGAGTTGAAAATATGCAACCTTCCCGACATGAAAACAGAGAACAGGCATCGGGATGATTTTAGCCAGTGGCAACCTAAGAACACACTGAATTTTAAATGCCATAAAGGGAGGGAAAGCGGGGCAGGCGTTTTTCCATGTTTAGCACAGCCCCCTGCTGCGGGAGGCAATAAATTCAGCATCCCAAGCGTGTCACGCGAAGACTGAACAACTTGAGCAAGGAAGGCCAGATCCTCACCTCGTTCTTCACAAAGAAAAGCAATTTACTCCTTCAATTTACTCAAAGAAAAGCAATTTACTCCTTACTCGCAGCGGAGTCTGCGAGTTACCCGTGGGTATCAGAGCCTGCGATCTACTGCCTGGATTAGAAGATTCATTGACAGCTCTGGGTTTAGAAAAGGGATTTTATCCACCCTTCAGAGTCAACACCAGCATTTGCAATTACTGTTATTAGGATGGATGTAACCAGCTTTGGGCTGGCAGCATCTCGCCTAGCCAGGAAAGCTCATTCAAAGCAAAAAGAATAAAGCTTTTCATATCTAAGGCAATTTCGGGCAAAAACAATGCTTTTGGCTGAGTCCTTCCTCCCTGGCAATGCCTACTCAGTGCAAATGCCCTCCCAAGCAGGCAGCAGCCATGCCAAGGAGCAGCTCCCTGAACAGAGGGACCAAGGCCAGGATGCTGCCTTGGAGTAAGGGACAAACAGGCACATGGAAGGAGTGAGCTGGGGAAGGGGGTGTCCCTTAGGAGACCCACTGGCACCTCCAGCGTGCAGGAGTTGCCTAAGTGCAGCCGAAATTTAAAGAAATCTTCCCCAATAGGATGCCAAAGTTGAGTTAGTTTGAGGAAGAACCACCCTGTCCTGGGTGGTTCTGTTCTGGTCCCACTGTTCCCACCACTGGGAACCAGCCCTCCGGAGCTCAGCACTTGGCCAAAACACAGGGCACAGTCTGCAGTTGGGCTTTGGAAGAAGATGAGCTCTTCAAAGCTCTGGAAAAGAGCTGGCCACACCAGGAGATGAGCACAGATGGCACATGATGCCCCGATAAATAACCTGCAGCAGGTCCACTATGCTAAAGGAATGCTGCACAGCACATCTGCAATGACACCGCTGATGAGGAGGGTAAGTGGGGAAGCTCTGAAGGTCTCAAGAGTTACTGAAGGACATCTTCATCCATAAAAGCTGCTTCAGGGCTCTGGGAAGTTGATGAGTTTGTACCAGCCTCAAGAATTCCCACCACGCCAAATCCCTGTCCAAACCACGGCGCTGCTTTTGCTCCACTGATGAAAGAGCCAGAACCACCAGGAAAAGCAAAAGAAAGAGGAGGAGGAGAGAGAAGGAGCTAAAATAAGACAACCAAAAGACAAAGCCAAATTCCCAGCCCTGTGGCTGAGGTCAGTCAGAAGACCTCAGAGCCACCGCCGGGTCCAGGCTGGAAGTGCATTTGCAGAGTCCCTCAGACAGCTGCCCAGCAGCTGCCAGGCTCCAGTTCGCCCCAGTAATCCCCCACTTTCTCATTCTTACTCTGCACTTACAGCTATAAATAGACAGTTCATCCGACCAACCCCCTCATTCAGGGTCCCCGTCAGAGGAGGACAAGCAGAGTCCTGTATCTGCAGCACATCTGGCAGGCTTAGGTTTCAGGGTGAAGGAGTGCAAGATGTGCAGCCGTTGGACTCGAGATCTTGCAGGGTTTTAATTAGCCAGATTGTACTTGGACGGAGACGCGCGTCTGGAAATAGCAAGAGAAGCCTTTTGCCATCTATTCTACTCAGGTCTCACGTTCCCCATTCCAAGTGGAACATTATCATCCCAAGAATGAGCCTCACACAGTTACAGCAACTCACATGATCCTAGAGATGGCACAAGCAGGACATACAAAAATCTTTAGCGGTGACAAAGAAGAAAAGACACGTTTAGGAGTGCCTTGTACCACGGAGCCATTTATTTAACTGGCTGGCATCTGTGGTTTTTCCAACACAGCAAAAATAATGAGAAAAGTGGCAGCTAACTTATCATCTCACCTTGGCTCCCCTATTCATTACTTTTTTTAATGCACTCAAGAAATTCTGCTGATCACATCACTATTTTGGGAGATATGAGGAGGCAACGCTGGGGACAGCAGTGAAAGAAGCAGGAGAAACTTCTCCAAGAAGACAGGCTGTTGGCGGAGTCTGTGCCTGAACAAGTCGCATCACTTGAGAAATTGAGGCCAGGCAGGAGATCTTCTTCAACTTCCCTTCTCTACGATGAAAGGTTTGGAAACACACCACTGCCCCCGACACTTTTGTTAGGGCACACGCAAATAAATCAGGCAGCAGAGGACAAGCATCCCCGTATCGATCAGGCACCACTTGCAGACTGGCCAGCCCTCGCCATCTGCCCGGGCTCTCTGCAAGCTGCCATCTGGCCGATGGCAAAGCAAACCGAGGGGCCAGCGGGGTGAGGACAGGGAATTTGAGAACTTTCTAGCTCCCCTGATACCCTTTTAGTTTCACCTCCCCTTTCCATCATCAATTGTTCTTTTGTTTTTTTGGCGTTTTGTTTTTTTGATTTTTTTGTTGGTTTTTTTTTTTAAATAAATAGCTGTTTCCAGGCAATTATCCACCAGGATCTGCTGGATGGCTGACCCCGTGCTGGGGAGCTGCCTGCAGCCCAGCATAATCTCCGCGCTACCCCAAAGGTGACAGCACAATGGGTTCATCAAGGCATGAACATCCTTTAGAGAGGCCGGCACCCCGCGGCCGCCCCGCGCTCGCAGGCAGACAGCTTGTTTCTGCAGCAAACGGCCCTCGTGGCGCTGCCATTGATCCCCTCCCAGCCCCGGCGCTGCCTTTTGTCCCCAGCTGCTGTGGCTCCACCACGCCAGGAGCTTCCTGCCCACCAAGGTGATGGTCCTCGCTCTTCAGAGCATCGCGGGGACAAAGCCTGGTTCCTTCTGCTTCCCAAATCTGCGCCTCCGTCACAAAAACATTTATGTTTTGCATGCTTTGCAGAACAGGAGTTCACCCTAAATCTCAGTCTCAAACATGGGGACACCAAACTGCTCCATTAAGGTTGAAATGAAGCTCTATGATGTTCTCCAAAAGAAGCCACTTTTACTAGCACCCAAAATGTTTTGTTAGAAACAGCTCGATATTTATCCTGAGCTTTTTATCACAGCACCCACAGGAAGACATGTCTCTCCTGGGGTGTGATGTGACAGTGCAAAGCCCACCAGGTTGTCCCTCTTCATTTGCACCCCGGTCCTTTGAGGCCAGCGGGGATGGCAGGATGGGTTCTTGCAACACCATGTTTCATGCTGTTGCAAGGACAGGACTATGCATCCCTCCAAAATGATCCAACGGGCACAAATAACCATTGGGATAGCTGCACAGATGTGGCACGTTAATGTGGAAAAACCACTCAGAGATGGAAGGGTCTCTCTGGTCATACTGTTCTCTAGTGGTTCCTTCCAGGTTCCTTCCACGCGTTGGGTCACTTCACCGCTTTGCTGCAAAAATCACTTCCTCCCCTCCAACAAAGCATCTTGGATGCGCTCGGATCTTCCCAAGGCTGCTGGATCGTCAGCAATATTAAATGCAAAGCTGCTGGATGGACTGAATCATTCCCAGCTCGTGAATGACGCCCTTGTTTGGCTGTTTGGAGATCGGCAGCAGCTAAGAAAGAGCTTTCTCATGTGGCCTCGCCGTTTGCCAGCGCCCAGCATCGGAGCCCAGTATGCACCATTGTGACCGGCAAGTTTCCAATGAAAGTTTCCTTGTCCAGCAGGGAGAGACGTTCCCTTGTCCAAGGGGAAAAAAGGGGGGGGCTGCTGCTGATGGGTCACCAGGCAGCGGGAACAGCAACACTGGTGTGAAGGGCTTGGAGGAGCATTTCTGGGGTTTTTACAGTTACGGGTGAATTACGAGGAACAGCAACACTGGTGTGAAGGGCTCTGAGGGGCGTTTCTGGGGTTTTTACAGTTACGGGTGAATTACGTCTCCATTTTGGAGGTTGTGTTTCCAGGCACAACCTGACTGCAGTGGGATGAAGGCATCTGGGCCATAACCCCACGCTGATTTACACGTGCCTTTCCCCAGTGGTCCCAACTAAAGATGGAAAGAAGAGGATTTTACAAAGAATGGGAAAAAAGGGGAAGTTAAAAGTGGGAGACACTGGGACAGAACAGGGCCATCAGTAAGAACGAAACCTCTAAGTCATCTGAGCACCGGATTTGGGCATCTCATGGAGGGACCAACTCGCAGGTCTGAGGAACAGTTTGGGAAGGTTTCACCCATACCACACCCTGTGGGAGCAGAGCAGTTAAAGCTGGGAACCTGTCTCCAACGCTGAATAACCTGCCCTGAGCACACCAAACCCCCCAATTTCTAGGAGAGGGCTGCCATCCCCACCAACGCCTGTGTGCAAGTTCACACACAAACCTTCCTCCAATTAAAAGCACGCCCACGTGTGAGAATCAGGAATTTTAAAACCCAGTATTAAAGGGAAAAAACGTTATTCTTGAAAGGATCCCTTTATAAGTTAAAATTTTATTAAACTGTAGCTGCTGGGAGCAAACCACGAGCGGGGGATTCCAGGGTCCTCCGTTCCCTCCACTAGTAATTTATGATTTACTTTTGTAATAACTGAAGCCATAAGGAACTCATTGGATTAAGGAGTCTTATTATTTATGTTGTGGAACAATAATATTTAACCGTATAAAGCCACATATCCACTCACACAGCCTTTCCCTCCGTACAGGACAGACTCCATAAGCAAAGCCCTGGCCGCCGGGAACGCTGCCATGGAATTCCGACAGCGCCCGCCTTTCACCGCGTACGTCGTAGCTCAAGGTTGCTTTTAAAAGCCTGTCATATCATCACCACGGGCAGCAAAGCACAGACACCAGAGACCCAGATAAATACAGTCACCCCAGCAGCATCCCACCAGTGAGGGACTGCCCTGAGGATGGCTGGCGTGGTCCAAAAATCACTCACGGGGGACACGGACCCACGTGTCAGCACCCACGAGGCCACAAAACACCATAATGGGGGGGTCCAGTGTGGAATTAGCAATGGGTGTCCCCGTCCCAGTGAGTGGCTTAGCTTCACTCGGCCGGGAGGAGGAATTATATCCCAGGATTAAGGATAGGAGCTAAGGATGGGATTGAGCAGGCGGAGGGGATTCCGGGGAACTTGGGGATCCCGGGGAACTTGGCCCCCCTCACCCCACGCTGAGCCCCTCATAAACTCAACCCGATTAAAAGCAATATCTCCCAGGGCTCTACATGGGAAGAGATGGGACTATCGTAAGAGCACAAAAATCTCCTGGCAGGAGGACCAAAGCGGCCGGCCCCGCTCTCCGAGCCCCACCATCAAGTTTTATCCCACTTTGCTGGAAGTACATCACAACCTTCCCCTCCCCGTGAGAAGGCAAAGCCACTTACTCTGCCAGCTCCTCCAAGCTCCGATACACGTCGTCATCGTTTTCCGTGGTCTCCTCCGACGGGAAGGGCCTGGGGGAGCAGAGGAATGGCAGCGTTACTGGTGTGTCTCACCCCTCCCAGCAGATCCCCTGCAGCCCCAGCTGAACTCAGCCCAGCCCCGAGCATCCCGTTGAGCAGAAGCGGGTGTTTCGGAACAAAATATTCGTTGCAAATACATTTTTTCCTATTGAGGTCTTAGCTCCCAGGAGGACATTATCTCTGCCGCTTCCTGCGGGCACGGCAGGACAAGAAACCAGGTGGTGAGGCTGGTTCACCACTGGGCACCATCTGAGCACTGAATTGAGGAGCTGCATGGTCTAACAGCATCTTGGAGACCCCGGGTCTGAGCTGTTCCTCCCCCATCTGCTGGTGCTTGCACGAACAACTCAGGAGAAACCTAATCCAAGCCCAGTGTCAGACTCATTGAGATGGAGAAATTCTTCTCCACTCCTGATGGAGCTTTTCTACCTGCGAGCTCCTGCCCTGCTTGGATGGGGAACATCGAGCCGCTTCCCACCAGCATCTCCTGCTGCTGCAAGTGGCTGATCCCACCTTACAGCCCCTGGGCTTCCTCATCTTAACAACTTTGTGATAGCTGAAAAAAAGTTAAAACCCTGGGGATGAGGGAAAGGACACCAAAAGGGCAAAAGGAAGGAGGGGGGAAAGCAGATTAGAAGCGAAAAGGAGGGAGTGGGGGGAATACAAGAATTCCTTGGCTCATTCTGAAGTAATAACCAAATAATGTAGGAAGGAGATGAAAAATACTGCTTTAATTAAACCCAAAGTATTATTGCTGGCATGGGGCCATGGCGGGCTATGGCTCTGCTGGGGCTGGATGCACCTTGCGACTCCGGCTGCCTCGGGCTGGGCTCCCTGTGGTCACACAAGCCTTGTCCCCCCTGGAACGCCGGGAATGGGGGCTGCAGCCACGCAGCAGCACACCCCGAGCCCCGTGGGCATCGCAGCCAAGGCAGCCGGGGGTCCCTGGGCTAAGAGCCACAGGGGGTGGGATGCTGATGGATGCTGGGGGTGAGCATCCTGCTTTGAGGACACACCTGAACTCTTAACTGCCCTCAAGAGCAATTTCCTCCTCCCACCCTCCCCATTTCATGATAGATTGCTTCTCCTGAAAGATTTAATACACAGCCTGGCTAACCCTCAATTTTGCTATTTTTGGAGCCTGTCTCTAGCACTAATTTGCCTTCCCTCCCCTGCGTTATTTCACCCTTCCTTTGGTGAGCGGCTGCAGACTGAGTATTGTCAAATCCTGCTCCAACGCGCAGTGGGTTCAATTAAAACCACGACCAGGTGGTGACCCCAATCACAGATGGGGAGGATTTCATGCTCCACCAGCCATCGGGGCTGCCCTGCCGTCGCTCGAGATGCCACCCCACAGAAACCGAGGAGCACCCAAGGCGGGGATGTCTGAGCGTGCCCACATGTGAATCAGTGACAAATACAAAAGCCACATGAAGAGCAGACAAAAAAAGCCACCAGCTCCTAGTGCAAGTGGTGGAGCCCATCATGGGAACTGGTCTTGGACTTCAGCCCCGATGGACAACAGGGGACGGCAGCTGCTGCCCCGCACAGCTCTGGCAAGGAAGGAGAAATCAGAGGTGACCTCTGTTTAAACACCACTTGTTAAAATAATAGCTAAAAAATACCACCACAAGGCACGATTCCCTGTCTTCTGCTCTTAACCTCTAACTTTCCTTCTCCAGTGCTCACTATGCCAGAAAGAAAGAAGTAAAAGAGCCATAAAGAATATTAAAATCACAAGCGCACATTTCCAACCATAAATCTGGGCTTGAGGCGTAATCAGTTCCTGTGATAAACCCCCCCGTGTAAGACAAGGAGACAGCAAAGAGAGAAAAATACTTTCTAATGAGAGTTTCACAGAGACAGCAGCTCCGTCAGCCCTTCCTGCTTCACCTTGACCGGGGGTAAAGCACCGGAGTGAAAGTCAGGGCAGGGGAGGAATTAATAACCTGTATCTCTGCAATAGCAGCTAATGGCTAAATAAGGATGCTCCGAACACAATTAAGAAGGAAAGTCACACCGAGGAGAGGATTACTAAATGGACCAGCTAAAATCTGGAGCTGAAGGACGGAGTTTTGGAGAAAGCCTTGGGTTTGCCCTTTGTTTGTGCCTCTGTCCCTGGCTCTGGAGAGGCTCCCTGTGTCCCCACGTCACCGCTGCAGGAACAGGGCTGCCATCTCCCCACACCTCCTGTCCCCTTCTCCAAAACCAGGTGCCAGCCCCAAAACTGCAGGACAAGCCACCCAGGGCTGGGACCATGAGCTTTGCGCAGCTCTCACCCAAAAGGTCCTTACTCCTCCCCAAAAGCCCCCTGTGCAACAACATGATTTGATTTAGCTCAAATTATGGCCGTTATTTAAAATCTCTCCCTACTTTTGGCTTAAGTTCCCTTACTTATCCATTCACGTTGTTTTTCTCTGCTGACCATGGGAAAAATTAATCCTCCAGCAATGAGCCCATGAGGATGAACCCCCAGCAGCCAGCTACAGAAGAACATATTAAACCCTTTTCTACCTCGACTTGCAGTGGGGGTGAGGGCGGCGCTGGCAGGAGGTGTGGTGCAAGCTGCCCACCCGCCCTGTCCCATCGATTATTCCCCGTGTTGCTGGTTTTGCCTCTTCCCATCAGATCACCTTCACGGCTCCCCCGGGGGCTAAGCCCATCTCAGGACAACATCTTCCACTTGAAATGGCTGCAGAAACAGATTTGATGTGGTGGGGAGAGGCTGGGGGAGGAGAGCCCTGCTCTCGCTCCTGCCCCACCGGATCCACGTCAAGGTAACTCTAAGAAAAGCCAATTGGGTGAAATTTTAACCCTGTGTTTCTCATCCAGGTCCAGCACAAGACTTGCATTTAGACACCTTCATGCAGGTTGGCAACTTGGTCCCAACCACACGGACAGAAACATCTCCATCTGGTTGGGCAATGGGACTGCACATGAGCTCCCCAAGAGCAACCGTGTTGGTTTGGGACCAGTTTGTATGTCATTATTTCTCTTTAAAAAGAGCAGAAACATTGGAAGTCAAGGAGTCTAAAAGCTACCGGTTCCCTGGGCAATTCTTACAGATCTCCAAGAGCATTGCAACTTCATACACAGCATTAAATGCTAAAGCTGGGAATGCCCAACAGTAATAAGCATTCTGAGTCCACTGAAACCCAACAGGTTTGCAGAGATCCCAGTTCATTGAAATTCATTTGAAGACGTCTCTTATTTAATATCATTAGTTAAGCACTAGAATTTCTTTTTTACTCCACCATCATGAAAAACCACCTGCTGAGCCATCTCTCCTCCCAGCCCGTGCCTGGGCTGCAGCGAGCCCCATCCCTCTCCGATGAAGAGCAAAAGCCCCAGCGACATCAAACACGGCTGGAACAGGCTCTTAAGAGATAATAAACCTCCCAGAGCAGACTTCTTCACAGACAAACCCCACAGCCTTCACCAGCATCGCTTCCAGAGATCAAAGAAGAGAAGGGAAGTCGGATCGATCTGACGCGTTTGTTTTAGAGCCTAAAAGGGAAGGAAAGACCAAGTAATTTGTTACGGAGTTTAGAGGGAGCTTCTCCTCTTGAGGACAAGACTTACAGCAGATGATCGTTCCCGACGCGCGATGCAAAGCACCCCCTTGATCTTACAAAAGATTTAGGAGACTTTCTGGGTTGGAGAGCTCGCACCCCGCAAATGCCAACGCGCTCTCGCAAAAGGGAAGGCAGGAGCAGCCCACAGCCACAGCACGTCGCACAGGGCGACAGGCAATTAGTATTTCACCGGGTACCTCACACAAATCCCCTCCCTCGGGCTGCCCCATGGTCCATCCCGTGCCGTATCCCCATCCACCACCCCCAGACCCAGGGATCTTCTCTGTGGGGAGAAGGCGCAGCCTGATGAGCCGCCTGGCTGCTCTCTCCTCTGAATTATTTAATGGGAAGAGCCAGGTAAGGCTGCACGTCTAACAGCATGAAGCAAAATGGTTTATTTATTTATGAACATATTCCAGCATCTGGGTGCCTTGTCCTAGAGACTGAAGCCATCTCTGCGGTATCGTCACAGAGGATACGGAGGGTCAGGGACGGGTCAGTTTTACTTGGATAATTTTGTACAGAAGCACCTTGGCCTCAAATCCACGTGTGACAGAGCAGAGAGGATCCAGCATGATTTATTTTCTATTTTCCTCTCTGTCTACGTTCTCATTCCCTGGGGCCAAACACCAGCCCTGGGAACAGAAAGCCCAGTCAGAAGCAGGCAAGATGGAAATGTCCCCTCACTGCCCTCCATCTGAGGCCACTCTTGGTGGAGCAGATCTGCAAGGAGCTTCTCGTGGTGGAGATCGTCTGTTGGGCAGATCTGCAAGGAGCTTCTCATGACTTGTGCAAACGCCCACAGGAGGGTGTTTGGTGGCTCATCCCTTACTGGGATTTCTCAAGGGGAAGTGCTCAGACCTTGGCAGTTTGTAGCGTGTTGTTTTGATAGCTCCAACCTTCCCTTTTTCTTTTTTCCTGCTATTTTTTCTCCAGGATGGCAAGTCACTCCCTGAGCATGGGGTCACCCCATCCCTATGGGTCCCCTGTTAACCATCAGTTCTGGCACCCTGGATCCATAGCAGGTCCATTGGGCACAAGATCATGCTCTCATGAGGACAGTATCCCCAGAGCCATCCAAAGAAAACCATGGGGTTTCTCTAGAGGTTCACACACAACTGAAAAAGCATCTGTCATCGGTTTTGGTGGGATTAGGCAGATTAAAGCAGCATTTAATTTACTGATATACCAAGAGGTGGCAGTGAGCTGACAAGGGACAAGCAAAGGGGTGACCTGGAGCTGCTTCTCCTGACCCGGGCAGCACCTCTGAGCTTTGGTTCCCATCTGTGAAATGGGAACAAGCGTCAGGGAATGATATCGGTAAAGTGCTACGAGATGGATGAAAACTGTGCTATTAGCACCCAAGAGCCATTTGTATATAGCAGAATGGAATCAATTCTCTCCCTGCAGAACGAG